GCATTTTAACGTCAGAATTTTTGGACGTTGACTTACTTTTAGAGCCTGCCTCAAGTGGTCATTAGAAAAACTGCAGCTTTTGGCCTTTAGAAACAAGCAGCAGCCTTCTGGAAGTGGAAATATAAAGCCAGTTTTGCAGTTATTCTAAATCCCATTATGGCTTTTTCCAAAACAGAATCAATCCCCATGAACTCCTGTGGTAAAACGCTAGACTAAACACCTTTAAAACGCAAGTTTTGGAAATGTTGATTTAATTTTTCAGTCCCAGAGATTACCGCTCGCCTAACTTGAATCTCTCAACAAAGCGTGGACAGTCCATTTGCAAATGCAAATAAATCCATGTAGAATAATGTGTGGAGTTGTGCTGCATACATTTAGTCTTTGTTCCCCTTCCTGTCCCTTTTATCCCAAAGGGGATAAAAAGTTCAACATATAACTTTCGTCAAATAAATCCATCTTTATCCTTTTCACCTTGACATGCAGATATCAGTTTCAAGCTAAAGCCAGAAGGCAGACGTGATAACCACAAAAATAAACAGAAGCAATAGAGTAAATAAAAAATATAAGTTAAGGAGACAAAGCCACTGAGAGACGGTGCTGAAAAGAGCCTTCACCAATAAAATACTTGACATGTTTGTATGCAGCATTTTTCTGTGTATCTGCCAACTTGCATGCAGACTTAGCTTGTTGCTGTGGGCAATAACAGCAACGAGCCCAGAACTATTTGTGGATACGTGGAGAGAAATTTTGACTAATGTAAGAATTCCCCCATGGCGACAAGCCCACTGCCTACAGCAAATATCAGAAGGCCTGCCCTCCCCCTATACTGCTCCATCTTCATAGCAGCATGGCTGTGGTTCTCCTCCTCCTCCACTACCACTCGTGTTTTACAGAGGCATCAAAGACTCTGCCCTCTGCTGAGCCATCTGCTTCCTTACTATGTGCACAGTCGCTAACAGAAACAAAATCCTCAGCAGCGCACACATCACCTCCAAGATCATCAGACTTTGCTTTCTCAACCTCACAGACCTCCGCCGGATCTCATCACGGCTTTTTTTCTGTGTGTGTGTGTGTTTGTGAAATCCCATCTGGACATTGACACAAATCCTGGATCTAATAAAGGGAAGGGAGAGAAGGGGGGGCTGATTTTAGCAGATTCTTGGCATTGTGACCCTGCACAAGCTGTCAAACTAACATCACAGATCTTAAAGCCCCAATACATCTGTGCACTCTCTGGAAAGAACAAAAAGACAAGTGTTCTTCATTTTATGAGGCATCAATCAATGAGCAGGAACGCAAGGTCGTAGCTAGCTGCTATTTTTTATTACTGATCAACCTGCCAGCTATGTATGTTGGTATTTGCAGGGTTTATCTGCACTCAGAAAGCAGCCTGTTATTTTATATAAGGTTGATCATGCTCACACTTGAAATCTTTGGAGGGGACTTCAAGTGTGAGCATGATCGACCTTATATACAATAAAGGACTTTTTGGGAGTGATGGGGTGGAGTACACTCAGGACAGGGTAACCACTGGCAGTCACTAGAAAGTCTAGAAACCATTACGTTCCTCACAAATACTTTCCGTTTCAGTGTTTTCGTATGTGGCATTAGTATTCTGGGCACTGTTTTGCCATCTGTATCTCTCACATCTCACACACACACACACACACACAGAGGCAGATATAAGATCAGTGAGCAGAGAGGAAGCACAGCGACAGGACAATGGACGGCAGGAAAGTGTCTCGTCCTCTCTTTGTTGCTCTGAAGGCTTCAGTGAACAGAAAATGTGAGATGGATGAAAAACAGGAAGGGCAAGTGACTACAACAGTAACTGTATCTGCTGACACTTCCAGTTACACGCTTCCTTTATTACTGGAGTAAGAGTTTGAAAAAACATTAAAAACAGATGACCATAAGACATCAGTATTGCTTTAGTGTTAATCTCTCATTATAAGTTGGCTTTTTGTCCCATTTCTGATCATTTTAATGCTTAAATGCTGATTTTTCTGCCACTGTTCGTCTTAATCTCTTTATGTGGGACTGCACAGCATCATCCCACATTTTTATTGGATCTGGTTTCCAACTGCAGGAAGTCTGGCTTTAATGCAATGGATGTGAGGGAAGAAGGGAAAACTGTTATCATGGATCAAGCAGAGGTTAACATGTCGCCGTCTTTTGCTGCTCGTGCAACGCCCAAATGGAAAAAAATTGTGAGTCTATGCATTTTACTAGACAACGACAATAAAACATGATAGAGAAAAGGAAATACAGCAACATTAAAGCTGACGAAACAGCTTATAACTTGGTGAATACAGTTTTTTTTCTTTTCTTTCCATTTTCCACTGTGGAGAATTGTGACTGGAGTCCATATATTATATGAGAATTTCTCTCTCTCTCACTCAAAAAAATAAAAAGGTGGCAAATCTAAAAAACGAGATGTACCAACCTATCTGTGCACCCTTACTGAAACCTAGAGACGATTACCTCAGTTATTAAGATGAAAAAAGGAATACATGAGTGTGAGAAGACATCCTAATGCCTACTGTAATTTGCCTGTATGGGGTACCAGAGATCTGTGCTTGTGAACAAATTCTCAGACTAGTTTTCCGCAGTAGTAACGTGTCCTACATTTAGTTTGTGGATATCTGATCACCCTACTCTCGTCTGTCTGCAGTGTAACTGCAGCCTGAGATCCTGTGAGTGATACTCAAGCCTGGGGGTATTGCTTTTGTGTTTGATATCTCATTATTTGAATCGGTCCACAAACATCTAGCAGATGCAGCCATTTAGGACAAACTGGTCACAAAACCAGTACCCTCACTTTATAGTTAAACTTCTTGAACGCTCCTTTCAGTCAATTTAAAGGCTATTCATCTCAGATTTGTTAGTTTAATATTGGTTAATTTAAATCATCAAACTTTGGCAAATTGTGGCCCCAGGGGAGGCTGTAGCTCAGTAGGCAGAGCAGGTCATCTACTAATTGGATGGTTGATGGTTTGATCCCTGTATGCACCTGTCTGTATGCCAGAGTATCTTTGGGTAACATACTGAACCCCAAGTTGCTCTCTGATGCATTCATCGGAGTGTGATAGAATGGAAAGCACTTACCCGAAGAAAAAGTGCCTGTATGAATGGGTGTGAATGTGTGAATGAGGCGTGATGTATAAAGTGCTTCGAGCGCTCGAGTAGAGAAACACTCTGTGAAAACCAGTGCATTTAACATTTATAGAACACCTTTATTTCATTTTTTCCCATTTTTTTAAAAAAGATGTTTTAAACTTTATTCTATTTAGATTTCTAACTGATTCTTTTAAAAAGTTCATTTACTGTGTAGTTTCTACTTTACTGAGCTGTCTTGTCTCATCATACCGCCTTTATATTTTATTGAGCTATTCTACGTTTTTGTTGCGTGTGTTGTGGATCTCGGGATCTCATGTAACTAATGCACATTTGCTAATGTCATCAATTGTGCAACTTTGTACACTTATAGACTGTATAGGAAAAAAAAACAAAACAAAAATACTGGTAAATTCAACCCTTAACATTTCATATATCGAAAATTGAATCAATTCTTTTAATGGCTGGTTTCTGCAGAGGCCATGAAGCTCCCAGTGCACAGTTTTTGTGCTGATGTTAATTCCAGAGGAGGTTTAGAGCTCTGCACTCGCTGAGTCTGTGGACTATTACTCGACAACCCTAAATCACTCGAATTCAAAGATTCAGAGGAGAGGCCCAATACTTTTTGTCCTTTTTTCCCCTCATTGGTTATTTGGTATTATATAGACAAACATTTTGAAATATTATTCTGGTCACATCCCAGTGAATCTCCAAAACCTCTTTAGTTGACACCAAAATGTGGGTATTAACGGCAAAGAGCTTTGGTATTATCTGGTAATGAATGTGCTTACTGTTATTCACATATGTATCTGAGATGTGTAATTATAAACCTTTTTACAACTGGAAACAGTGCAAAATAGTTTCTCACTGTGATGACTCTAAAGAAATAATAGATATTTCTAGGGAGTGAGCACAGTAGTTGTGATGGACAACAGTGTCTCTGTGCCTCGGGCTGATGATTCAGCGATGTGTCTAATGGAAAGCTTTTAGCCGCTTTTGAATCTTCCCACCACTCACAGAGGAACATAAACCAACAGATCCACACAAAAAACAAACCAGCCGCCCTCTCTGGTTTTCATCTTAACTCGAGCCACTCTGCAGCCGCATCTTTTTCAAACTTGCTTTAATGACTTGGTATGTCCTTATTATTATTTCAGTATGTTCTCCGCCCTCGCTGCTTTTCCTTCTACCTTCACTCCCTGCCCTTCTCTCTAGGTCAGCCTCCTGATGCTGATTCGCTGGTGTTTTTGTTTCCCCTGTTTCTCTCCCATCCTTTGCCTTTTCTTTCTCACCTTTAAGTGGTCAGATACTGTAACTCCTATCTGGTGTTTATAGCAAGTATGCAGGAACTAAAAGCTTTACTCAAGGCTCTACTCTGCATGCATAATGATTTATTGAGGTGTTGGGATTGTTGGGTGGGGGAGCTTGGATAATGACGGTGCTGAAATGATGGTTTGTGTCTCTCTGTGTGTCTTCCCTCCTGCTATGAGGCTAATCACTGGAGATAAGCAATACTCCTGCCGTTTCATCAGTGCCGATAATCGCTACCTCTCACCATCTGTCGAGCAAAAATAATTTATTCAACCTCCAAACATATCTTCTAGCTTCTGCTGTTTATTCACCGCTTTTCTAGTGAGTGTGGCGCCAACACCTGTTGTCATCCCTGCTATAAAAGGAATGGTTTGCTGACTAACAAGCTTTTAACATTTTGAAAGAACTTCACGGGAGTTTTTGCTCATTTCAAAAGTTCAGCTTGAGAACTTTTGTTACCAGCTTGCTGTCTGATATTCCTCTGTTTTTTATACCGGGTGCTATATGTAACAGACAAAAGCCTGCGTGAGTGTGTAATCTGTTTTTAACCTTTTGTTCTGTGTTCCTTCTAGGAAGTATAAAAGGAGCGACAATAGTGGATGCTTTGGATACCCTCTACATCATGGAGATGTTTGAAGAGTTTGATGCTGCTACTGACTGGGTGGAAAAGAGCCTTGACTTCAACGTGGTAAGTTGCGTGTGTGCTCTTGTTATGGTCAGGTATATAGCAACAATAAAATATTGAATATTATATTTTTTTGTGCAGGTAAATATTTAGATTTTCTTGATATATACGATATAATTTGGAGGCTACGTCGCTCACCCCTACTACCCACTGTCCCACTGTGTAGCCCACAAAAGCATCCAGTATTAGTAGTGCATGAGTCTCTTCTATTCTGCTGAAGTGAAACAATATTTAACTGCATCACAGAATTACTGTGCGGGTAATCAAAGGTCCTCGACAGGTGTTATGTTGAACCAGCATCCTTCTACCTTCTAACATATATAACTCTCTGATAAATTATTAGCAGAGTAAGGTGAGTTTCAGTTGTGTCAACTAGACCACAGCTTGTGGTTAAGTAAAAGTTATGTAAACATGAAATGAAAAAGCTTTTGGCGTAGCCGGTCTGAAACGCCTCCGAGGTGGTGTTGCTTTACAGTTAGTTTCCTCTTTGCTGTGTTAGCTCTCCTGCATGGTATGCTGAACAAAAACTAACATAGAACTGAGCTGACTAGATCGGCTTGCTGGCAACAATATCTGTTTCGGGATCAGAGCAATATCTGATCCAAATATCGGATTGATGCATTCGTAGCGAAAATGCCTCAAACATTTTGCACAGAAGACCAGTTTTCCTATAGGTCAATAAAAGGGTCATTGAAGAATAAGGTTCTAAAATGTCTTTTAATTTCCTGATAATTTGCTTGTAGGTATTTAATTTGAAAATGATTTCCTAAAGACTGGTAGAAAAGAGTCATAGCTCATGAATTTGACCTTTTTATACCACCATAGTGGATTATAATGAAGACTTCAGCTTTAATTCAAGAGGTTTAATAAAGTATTGCATTATTAAATTTTAAGAATTTAAATGCATGTAAATTTATGGTTCTTAGGCCATGCATTTTTAAATAAACTAATAAGATGGGAAAAAAGTGTGTGTGTGTGTGTGGGGGGGGGGAGAGTCAAATTTCATTCAAATAATCATCAGTACAAGCATTTTTTATACTTTCCTCTATAAAATTGACATACATTTAACTGGGTTTCACTAAATATTTCCCCCCCGATCATCCATGCTCCACCTTCCCTATTTGAGAATCACCGGCTTGGCTACTAAACAGTGGACGAATGGCACTTGAATACCTGAAGATAAAATAGAGCAAAATCTCAACTTTTTTTTTTTAAATAACTAACTCCTAACTCCCTCAGAAACTTTTCATATATAAATTCCTTACTTTAATTTAAAAACAAAACCAAACGTGTATTAGTTCACATTCACTTATACAAAATAAACGTGGTGTACACATCTCTCTGTTTATATCTGGTGACATGATCGTGTGGTGGTTAGCACTGCAAGAAGGTCTAGTTTGAGTACTTTGTGTGTGTAATTTGCAAAATCCACAATAACTGTGGTGGTTCATGTATTTGGATCTTGAAAAAAGATTGATTTGGATTATTCATGTCATGTCATAAATTATCTTCTAAGTGTTCCAAGTGTCTGGCATCTAAATAACTGCAGAGATGAAACTAAACTCAAAAAGCAGTTAGCAGCTTTGGTCAAGTGGTGCTTACACTCAGCATTGTTTAGTTTGTCATGTGACGCTGAGTTTCTTGCAACAGCAAATGAAATCACAACTGTTTGCTCACAGATTTCCTGAATACAACAGCCCCACTTAAGAAAAAAAAAAAGAGTCTACTACTGGCGGAAATCCCAAATTTAGATCACCACCTGTGTGCTGAGCTTCGAGCCAAATCAGTTCTCATTTTGAGATTTGTTCCTGACCAACACAGAGGAGTGAAAATAAATTCTTGAGAAGGTGTGATGTTTACTGTCAGTCTTAAATGGTCTTACAAGAGGAGGTGTTGTGTATACAGACATTTAATTGAAAGTAAGAAAGATCACATTTGGAGGCCTGGTTTGTTTTCTGCCCATGTGTCTCCACTGAGTCATCACTTGGAATTTAAAAGCTTTTTTAATCCACAACACGCTGAATTACAGAAGTATGGATGTCTACTCAGTATAGCACACTTAAAGAAATGCTTCAAGTTGAAAGGTCCTTACCAAGGACACATGCTTTCACGCAGCACTCCTGAGGCTGTAAAGTTTTACTGTGAGCTTGTGAAAAATAGCAAAACATGTCATTACTTCCTGTAGGTCACACGGTGCTACTTTCCAGTTTGAAAGGCATGTTTTTATTGGAAGTTTGAATGAATGTGATCCAGCCTATGACCTAATGTATGAAATCTGACCTTTATATAGATACATGAAAAGGTGAGCAGGTGTATAAATACATATCACAGTGAGGGCTCTTTGTTGCTCTCTTAACTTGGATGTTAGATGAACCCTGCTTGTGAATGTATCTTAGACTGCATATAAAAATGAATGGTACAAACACCACGTTTGGAAGAGAGCGTGTAGTGTTGAGTAATTGGCCTAAATACACTCCTGTAATAAGTTGTACTAAAAATGATTCACATAATACCAACAGCACAAACGAGATCCCAAAACCAAATTCAATGAGCGGATATAATGCAGCAGAGAAGTGACTACAGCTATAGTAACTAGCTCAGCACTTAAGTGTTACACAAAGCTAAGGCCCATAGTGTTGTGAACTTAAGCCTTAATACTATTTAAATGGGTAAATAAAAATTCACTGATGCTAAGCCTAGAAACCAGTGGGTGATGGGGAACTGGCTATATCCGTCTTTTATATACAGTCAGTGCATAAGCATTAGTTTCCCTTTATTTTAAACCAAAGATCTCTAAAAGTTGATTTTGGATGTAGCGTCATCCAAATGACTTCTTCAGTCTTCCTGAAGATGAGTGACGAAACGTTTCTCCCACAAAACGCTATGTCCAGATGAACAGAATTAACTTTTGGAGATTTACTTTCCTGGATGATTGAGAATGCATCAAGACGTTAAACCAAAGATGTTACCACGTTTTTGTACAGGAAGCAGCCTGTGAGCATGCACATTTTTTTTTAACAGCAATAACAGTTTAGTTTTATTTAAAGTGCATTTCCATTGCTAAGACATAGGCTTGTGCTCATTTTAAGGATAAGACACAATTTAATAAAGATACTAAGCTCTAAACTGCCTGACATTCCAGTATTTAATGCAGGAAATGTGTCCTCAGTGATATTATATATAGACTAATGTAATTTTCTGCTGTCTATAAGGTTAGAAACAATTACCTGGTGTTCCAAAGAGCTCTGCTGATAATGGATCCCAATACAATAAATGCGTTACCAACAATAAATGCGTTACCAAAATTGTTAAAAATTATGCCACTTTGACTCTCCTGAACATCTGGAAACATCCAGGAAATTGGTGTATTGACGCTGAATTCTGTTCCATAATGGTATCAATAAAAACCCAGAGAGAGAGCCCACGTACAGGTATAATGTTTGATATGTTGCTCTTGAGTTTTCCAGGTTTATTATTCATCAACTTGTAATTGTATGCTCATGGTGCAGGAGTTTACTTCTAATGAGCGTATGTGAATATGTAAAGCAAACAGTGAATAATATTAAAGTGCTTTTAGAGCACTTTCTGCACAAGTTGCTCAGTATTTACATACATTTACACAAAGGAACATGTTAAACTTTAGTTTGTAGAAAGTTGCGAGCAAGCACACGGGATCGTAATTGCCACCTGGGGAATATTGATTCATCAGATATAAATCCTGTCAACTAGAACTTCTCAGCTGTTATGACCACTCGTGGAAGGGCTTATAATTCTAATAAAAGATTACACTTAAAAGTTACAGATCTAGTGCAGATTTCTTACACAAAGTTTGACGTGGATATCTCATCTACTGTATGTCATTTCTGCTTTTGCTGATTAATTGTGTGGGCACATGTTAAAGAGTTAAACACAAACATTTTCCCTCCTTCCTTTGATGTTTGCCGTCCTCATTATAACATCCCCGTTAAGAGCTCCTCATTAGGGGGAAACAGCAAAGCAGTTTCTTTGTCTTTCTTTTAGCATGGTTCTGATATTAGATTTATGAAGTCTAATTCTGAAAACCAAAACATACATCCACCAAACATGATATATAAAAGCTCAAGTAGTGTTGTCAGTTATTCCTTCAGATCAGCTTTAATCCTCATTACTGTCTCCGAAACTGTGCATGTTTTGGATGTTTTACTCGTTGAGGTTTCCACGTCTGAATTTTTGGTACCACTGCTTTGTGCATAATCCTTACTGATTTCCAGTATTTGCCAGCAGTCGCCCTGTCAGTCAAACGGCATTGTAACAGCAGGAAGCCCATTGTTTTGTGATCATTTCCTGCAGTAGCATAATGTCGAGATGTAAAGCTGCTTTTGATATTCCACTAAAATGCTTTTTAATGGGAAGGTTTCTGTAGGCGGCTTTGAAACCACCCTCACTGGGGTTAAAATATCAGCTGAGTTAGCCGATGTAGGTCTGACAAAAAACCAACCCAGATTTCACTGAAGAAAAACACTAACCGGCATCACATATCATTAGCAACAATTAAGCATTTGGAGTGAAACGAAGCAGGAAAACGAGTATCAACAGTCAGAAGAAAAGGTTTAACTTTACGTTTGGGTTGCTTATTTTTGAAGCAAAGGAACAAGGCAAACGAGTGAAAGAGATTAAAACAAAGAAAATAATAGCAGTTGTTTGAGACTTATTAATATTAAAGTGATGTCATTACTAATGCGTTTGCCATTGAAATGTGTACAAAGAGGACATGAAGTACATAGAGCATAAATATTTCTCTAATATTAGGCAAAGTCAGTATTCTCCAGTACTTTCTGTATGTGCTTGCCAGGATTATCGTCCATCCTATAGGCCATCATCAGGCTACCACAGAGGCTTACAGTCCTTAAGGTTGGATGGAGTCATCCAATTTTTCTATGACTATATTTGCACCACATGCAATAATATTTGGCAAGATTGTAATACTCTTTTTTTTCTTAAAAATAGGATAAGCTGTTAAGAAGATGGATTGATTAATGAAATTCTTCCTGAAGAGCCATATGTCAGATCATCGTTTAGAGATCCTCCCTCCTCCTTTGTAAACCAATAGATTTTACTCTTGCCTGTGGGATCACACAATCTGTGTATGTAGCGACTGGAATGGTGTCCAAAGTTTGCTTGTACCACAACACCTGAGAAAGTGTGACACCTCACTTAGAGTCTTTGAGACTTTAAAAAAAGTATTTAGTCAGCCACCGATTGTGCAAGTTCCCCCACTTAAAATGATGACAGAGGTCAGTAATTTGCACCAGAGGTACACTTCAACTGTGAGAGACAGAATGTGAAAAAAAAATCCATGAATCCACATGGTAGGATTTGTAAAGAATTTATTCGTAAATCAGGGTGGAAAATAAGTATTTGGTCACCTCAAACAAGGAAAATCTCTGGCTCTCACAGACCTGTAACGTCTTCTGTAAGAAGCTTTTCTGTCCCCCACTCGTTACCTGTATGAATGGCACCTGTTTGAACTCATCATCTGTATAAAAGACACCTGTCCACAGCCGCAAACAGTCAGACTCCAAACTCCGCCATGGCCAAGACCAAAGAGCTTTCGAAGGACACCAGGAAAAGTATTGTAGACCTGCACCAGACTGGGAAGAGTGAATCTACAATAGGCAAGCAGCTTGGTGTGAAAAAATCAACTGTGGGAGCAATCATCAGAAAATGGAAGACATACAAGACCACTGATAATCTCCCTCGATCTGAGGCTCCACGCAAGATCTCATCCCGTGGGGTCAAAATGATCATGAGAACGGTGAGCAAAGATCCCAGAACCACACGGGGGGACCTGGTGAATGACCTGCAGAGAGCTGGGACCAAAGTAACAAAGGTCACCATCAGTAACACACTACAACGGCAGGGAATCAAATCCCGCAGTGCCAGACGTGTTCCGCTGCTGAAGCCAGTGCATGTCCAGGCCCGTCTGAAGTTTGCCAGAGAGCACATGGATGATACAGCAGAGGATTGGGAGAATGTCATGTGGTCAGATGAAACCAAAGTAGAACTTTTTGGTATAAACTCAACTCGTCGTGTTTGGAGGAAGAAGAATACTGAGTTGCATCCCAAGAACACCATACCTACTGTGAAGCATGGGGGTGGAAACATCATGCTATGGGGCTGTTTTTCTGCCAAGGGGACAGGACGACTGATCCGTGTTAAGGACAGAATGAATGGGGCCATGTATCGTGAGATTTTGAGCCAAAACCTCCTTCCATCAGTGAGAACTTTGAAGATGAAACGAGGCTGGGTCTTCCAACATGACAATGATCCAAAACACACCGCCCGGGCAACAAAGGAGTGGCTCCGTAAGAAGCATTTGAAAGTCCTGGAGTGGCCTAGCCAGTCTCCAGACCTCAACCCCATAGAAAATCTGTGGCGGGAGTTGAAAATCCGTGTTGCTCGGCGACAGCCCCAAAACATCACTGCTCTCGAGAAGATCTGCATGGAGGAATGGGCCAAAATACCAGCTACTGTGTGTGCAAACCTGGTAAAGACCTATAGTAAACGTTTGACCTCTGTTATTGCCAACAAAGGTTATGTTACAAAGTATTGAGTTGTATTTTTGTTATTGACCAAATACTTATTTTCCACCCTGATTTACGAATAAATTCTTTACAAATCCTACCATGTGGATTCATGGATTTTTTTTCCTCTGGTGCAAATTACTGACCTCTGTCATCATTTTAAGTGGGGGAACTTGCACAATCGGTGGCTGACTAAATACTTTTTTGCCCCACTGTAATTTATTACTGTTTATTTTCACTTAAATAGCAAAGTCCTGAATCTTTTGAAAGGCAAAGAGGAATAGAGTTGGAATTGTTACACTCTTGGGATGGTTTGTTCATTACAAAACACTGAAACAACATTTCTTGTGATGAGATAAAGGGACTTATAGGCCGGTACAGTTAGATTTTTACAACTGGCCACGCAAGATCTGTGGATACACTTTGATCTGATGAGTTGTTGCTGGGAACATTATCTCCTGGGCTCATCTTGTTTCAGTCCTTAATTAGTTCTCTGCTTGGAAAAGCCCATGCTTAGTCAGTTTCCTGTGCGGAGTGTAATGGACCGAATGTTGCAACATCAGGAGACTTGACTGCTTGCCTGCCAGCTCTGTCAGGAGTGAGATAATGTCACACTGCTGCTGACTCAGAGGGTCATTGTCCAGCAGTTTAAAGCAGTGTTGGCTTCTTCACACAGTCACAAAACACTGCAGGATGACTGCTGGCTGAAGATGTTTCCGTCTTTAAAATTAAATTAAAGTATTTTTAAAATTTTGACTTTGATGTAAAGCATCATCTTTTAGCTTATTAAACCTCCGCTGCCAATAGACATTAAAACGTAGGAAGAAGTATTCATTGTACTTTTGGATTACAGCTGCCTAAGTGTTAAAACAAATAATTAAATTGTAATTAGAACGAATTAGTGCTGCAATCTCCCCACTCAATCAGTCACTAAGACTTGGGGATGAAAAAAAGACAGGACACATTTTGTGTGGCACATAATTTGTTTTTTTCCCCTCCCCCTTGCAGAGTCTGTTATCCTATCTCTAGTCGACAGCAGTGACTTATGAGAGCTGTCAGTCAAGCACAAAAACTTCATCCGCCTCGGGAATCTGTTCATAAAGGACGGACGTGAGAGAGAAATTACGCTTCATTGTTCGACTACTGAGACAAATGGCTATACAACTTTACATTTTTTGTTATTTTTCCCTCCATTAATTCTGCCCAGAAATAAATGTATTGTGTTTTTAAAGATGGCACACTTTATCTCCGGCTTTTAAGGCGGTTTTTGGTACCTAAAGATTTCTTTAAAAACTTTGGAAGTCACTTCTCTTTTTCAGGCTGCCGTACGTGTGCCCTTCAAGGTATGCAGTGCTTTATCAGCATTCTTTGTTTTTTCCTGTCAAACTTAAAAATATGCTGATGAACCAATGGTCAGAATAACTCAAATTTTGACACATACATTAAGGGATGTCTACCTTTGCATAAACTATAACAAAGGATTACATATTATTAACCAAGTAGTTCTTTAAAAAGTCACACAACTGTGTGTCATACATTTGCAAAAGTAATGCTTGCATACTAGACTAGTATTTATCTTGTGTTTTATAGCTAATTTGTTTGAATTTAACAATACTAAGACTCATCACTCAGAGCAATGACATTCAAATAATACTTTTTAATAATACTAATAATACTATAATACTAATTTTTGTCTAACATTGTTTATTTTATATAAAAAACTCTTTATGATCCATCTCTATGGATACATATCTAATGCTAATTCAATTCCAGCATTTTGCTGAAAAAGCATAATATTCATAAAAATAGACAAATATCGTCATTACTATTAGACTTTACCATTAGATGTGATTTCTGTTTTCCCTGGTATCTTCTGAATAGGGTCGTGCACTAGTTTAGTGTCAGAGAGATTAGTTGTTCTGTCTTGGACCTCCTGAACAATTTTTGTCCATTCCAGTGATTGTTGGAAATTTTTCAGTTAACCATTCCTTAGTCATTGCTTTCTCAGCTGCAGTTTTCAAATATCTGTCTAAAGTTGGCAGATTCCCCAAACACATAACATTAAAATCAAAGTTGATCTATGGGCAGATTGATGATCTTTCTGTTCCCACATCCAGCCAGTCAGAGCAAACTAAAGAATGGTCCTGAAAGACTTCAGGAAGTGTCTTTTTTTAAATATCAGTTTTGCTCACTAAACACTAAAGCAACATCTTGGATGGCCTGCCCACAGGGGACCGTAATGTTGGACCGATAATCCTGTTAAAATGCTCCAAAATAGAAAGGAGAGGTGTGACTCCAGGCTGTTGGCTACATTTGAGCACACCTGTCAGACAGAGTGTCCACTACCCAACTGGATGACATTTAACAGTCATGGGGAAATTACCTGCAGAGATCAAAGACATTTTTGTACCAAGCTGTAAACATACTGTGAGGGTTTCTGGATTGCTGCCCGGGAACAATATGTTTCAGATGGTTTGGAAAATTTGGTGCTGGTTCTCAACTAAAAACATTCGGTAGATCCCTTCTTTGATGTACCATCCTTAGCCATACACAAAGCATGGCTAACCCTAGTTATTCAAAACTTCTGAAACTTTTAGTGAGGGAATTTCCTTCTTCTTGGTCTGTCAGAGATCACTTACCAGAGTAACCCCACCCCCAATCTGGAGAAACCGAGTTCTCCCCTTTTCTGAGCTTGCCTCGAATAGTTAACATGCCTTAACTCCTTTATAAAACCTGCCACATACCTAATGTTGTGCATTCAAGGAGTGACGCATGGAAAGGAGCATGCAGCACACATGATTTGCTTCAGTATAAATGCTCCTTGTTATCGCATCATTACATATTTCAACCGGTGTAACAGTCCTCTTTTGTCCTTGGCCAATCGTGCTTGCCAAGTGGTCCTGCGCAAGTTTCCTGAATGTCCTCCCTGCACGAGTGAACCTGATCTCACAAGATTTCCACAACCCTACTCATGCGGCGTACGCGCACGCCTCCTGAGCAGATGCTTTCATGCAAACACTTTGTGGGATAAGCCACTTTCTCTTTCTTTCATCCTGGCTCAGTTCTAACACACTCATTTGGCTACTCGGTCATTCGTAGCAGCGCGGAGAAACCTGGTATTCAAATTTATTCAGCTGTTTACAGCATCAGCCTGAAAATATCTGTCTAGACTGTGAAAAGCTCACCTCTGTCTACTCCTCCCTGAGGCCAAGAAGAAGCCCAGGAACGTTTCAGTTTTGAGTTGTCTGCTTTCTTAGCTCACTGTTTGTGGGAGAAGAAATGTGTATTCATGAGTAGTTAGCAGTTATATTTCGTCTCATATTTCTTTTCTTTTGTCTTTGCCGCAGAATGCAGAAGTGTCAGTGTTTGAGGTGAACATCAGATTTGTTGGAGGTCTGCTGTCCGCCTACTACTTGTCTGGAAAAGAGGTAAGTAGAGAAATAAACCTTCCTGTGTTTTGCTTTTATTTATTTATTTTTCCGCCACGTCTGCACTGAATGAAACTTCGGGGAGTCTTTGGGGAATCTCAGCCTGTAGTCTGATTGATGAAACAGATGGTAGAGTGGAGACTGAATGAATTAATGTTTTCATGTGCTCAAAATCTTTGGCATTATCCCCTTTAATAGCTGGTACAGTTAGATGTCTCCCATATTGCAGGGTGAATTTAAGTTCTTTGTGAGTACCATTGCGCCGTCATCTAGTTTGATTGATTTGCTTCCAGCCTTTCTATGGGTGGAAGATTAACTTCTGTGTTGTTGTTCTTGGATCTTGTCTTCTGTAGCGCCTTTTGGCTATTAACAGTTCTGAAAGCTGTTGTATTATTAAAGAATTGAGCAGGGAATTTGCTTATAGACAAAAAACCTTTAGAGGAACTACTGCAGGGACCAGGGCCTGAATTAAGTTCTGGAGTCACCCCTTAATGTCCTTACTTTGGTGCTGGTACTTTAGGTTTGTGGCTTACACCACCAAAATTTGTGATCAGTCAGTCTTCTGCATTACCACAGCCTTCTGGACTTTACTGGAGACCAGTGGCATTCAGCAAATCATGATTAGAAATCTATGGGAGAATTCTGAAGTGCTAATGATGGTTGGCTATCTGCTTCCAGCGAGCCATCAACAGACAAAATGGGAAAACATATCAACCAATCTGGTTGTTATGCGGACACATGCGAACATTACAGCCTCACACTACTTTCAGCTGTGTGGTGGCAGCCATGACTATCTCCCCTTTATAATTTAATAAACATACTTTGTTTTACTTTTTCTTTGCATATTAAATCCACAGTGCAAATTAGCGCAGCATTTGTTCAGTGTTCTGGTTGGATAAGCACAGATCCCATCTGCATTCTGAATTTCTTTCTCTTAATGAAGCTGTAATGTTGTGAAATTATGTGCAAGTGTAGTAGAAGTGCAATTTTAATAAAAACCAACCAGATTTTACTGCTGTTTTTATGTCAGTGTGACCGAACGGCTTCAAAATAGCTGCCTGGAAGTAGAGCAGAGCGATATGACTAAAAATATTTATCACGATATACATTTGAAAATTTGCGATAGCGATATAACTGACAATATAATTGACACTAGACAAAATACTTTACAACTCTACAACTTTATTAGTGCAAAAAATCAAAACAGAACATCAATGTATTTTCACTTAAACAAGCAGCTGTTTTTTATGTGCATTAAAGTTATATAAAAATGTAACAGTGCAAATGCAAATTCCTTGCTGACAGTTCAAGCGGTGCAGGTTTGTAGCTTAGCAAAGTCGTACTAAAACATTTGACAGATTTTCGAGCGCCGTGTACCACATAAAATTTTTTCGAGGTCAGTAAACACAACCAGAATTCATACATAAGGCACATGGGATAACATGCTCTACCAAAAATAGTGCTTTGTTGTGTATCTGATGGACGAAAGCTAAACCAGTTCCACATCACTGAAGTTGCAGCATTTTTACAAACCAGTTCTGGTTCATCCGTTTCATTCAATGATCCACTTTCGCCCTCCTCATTCTCCGTCGCTGCCATGCTTTTTCTGCCATGTGTGTATGAAAACAAAGGCACTGCGCAGGTGCGTTTTACCCATATTCTATTGCGATATTTCATTTTCTTATCGTTGCCCAACATTATACCGGTATTACCGTGAACGGTATGATATGGCCCAGCCCTACCTGGAAGTATTTCAGAGATGGCTTCTGAATGGAAAGGCTTGCTTCAGGAACACGTGAGCAAAATATAAGCCGAAATTGGCCAGCAGAGTATCTCACTCATGTTTACAGTGGCCTGAAAGGTGTAAGAGGCAGCATTATGCAGTTATTCAGCCTGACACAATTCTGTGAATGACTTTAAAGAGCTGCTATTTAACTCTGTTCCTATGCAGTGAGGTTTATTAGCGACCTTTGCAGGAGTGGATATCAGCCAGATGGCAGAAAATGTAGGCTGATTTAAATCTCAGTTCAGTTGGGTTTCTTTATGTTCTAAAGTAATATTTCACAGACACCTGAACCATGTTTTCATTTAGTCGTTAACTTGTCTTTCACTTACTTTATTTAAGTTTGTCTCACAGTCTTTTTGGGGGGGGAAAGTTGCTGTGGCCTCTTTTAGATGAAGTTTTGGCTGTGCACAAAATTGGTTCAAGTTTGCCTTTGATGCTTTCTCCCAGATGGGCTCTGTAAGATGTTAAAGATCCTGCCAGTGAGGTTACTTTTCTTGAAAATGCGTGTTTTAACCCAAACCCTGAGATCTTCTTCCAAATCTAACCAAGTTGTTTTTGTTGCCAGACTGGAAACTTTTCTCACTTGTACAAAAATAAGGTTTAAAACAGCCATCCCTTTGTCATATGTCAGCAGACTCATTTCCCTCCTCTGTGCTGGTGTTTACATTGAAATGCACCCAGTCATGTGAGTCTGAAGCAACTTTTACTTTCTTCTGTAGTAAAAGAGTGAAAGTTCAGGACACTTGGGGTCAGCGTTCTGCTTGAAAGGGAACTGAGCGGTGGTGTTCCCTCCACCCTCAGAGACTGAATATGTCCTGAAGTGTCTTAGTGCTGAAAAACTGTTTCTGCAACCTTGTTTTATGCAGGAAAAACAAGCGAGAAGGGAGATTCCTCAGGGCTTCTCACTTTACTCATAGTGCCAGACCTGTTGTGCTTGTGTGCATGTGTATAAATCTGCTCAGTGACAAGAGGCTGTGAAAATGACACCTGCTGGGTATTGCGCTACTCTGCCGATGCAGAAGTGGTGTCTTAAACTCAGTTTTTTCTTGATGCCATATCTCCTTTGTATCTTCAGCTTATGACGTTCAGTCTCTAAATGAATGATGAAGCCCCACTAAAGAACAGATAATTCTGCACATCATTACAGCCCCAAAAACCTGATACCAGCATAAGTATAGCCCATACCCCAAAGATCTTCACAGTTGATTTCTGTTTTTTAGACTGATGTCACCAAGTGGGATTTTCCTTTAAGTGGCTTCTTCATTACCGCTGACACTTCAGGAGTAATCAGTTCTTTACATGCAGGTATACACCTTAATCTACATCTTCATCTCGGCAGTGAATGAACGAGGCTTGTGAGGCTAAGCGCTTCTTTATTAGCAGAGGGAGGCGGTGTGGGCAGAAGTCAGACTGGAGAGCAAAACCCATTTCCAAGTTCAGTGAGCATTTCCATGCTTCACCACACACAGCAAATCTGGAGGAATATTTTTTTCTTACTTGTCAAGCGTTAGATGTATGGATCATGTCATAAAACTAAACAGTAAAACTAATAAGAACAGCGAGCGCTACTTAAAGAGTGCAAAGTGGTTACGTTGTAAGAAGACAATAGTTTAATCTTTCCTACTTTGAGTCCTAAAGCTGATAACAAAGTGGGCAGTATAATACTAATGACGGTATGAGCCTATGTGTGTGTCACCATAGTAAAGCTTTTGAATAACCATATGTGAGTCATTTTTTCTTTTTTTGTTGTTGTTTTTCATTTTTTTTTATTATCCCTTAGTCATAAAAAGGTGATTGGGTATTGTCGTCACCACACCGGGTGGGTGGGTGGACAGAGTGGACACTAAAATTTGTGGACACAAAAACTTGATAAATATGTCTCCAAGGATTTTCAAATGGATACCATAAGTGTATCTATAAAAAAATCTCAAATGAGGTTGAACCTTGGTGAACTTGGCCTCAAGGTCAGAGGTCAAGTTTTATTAACTCAAGAAGGAAGTAAGCTTTGATTTTCCAATATATATTATAGGTGCAACTACTAGAAGGGTCAGGGGTAGCGCTGGCGGCCGTCAGTACATTTTTTGCCCACACGCTATTTGTCTGTGGTGGATTTGGCTACAGTGTGGCTGTGGTTCAAGAGGTAGAGCACAGGGTCAGAGGTTTGATCCCCAGCTGCTCTGGTCTGCATGTAAAATGTGCTTTGGCCAGTAACTGAACTCTAAAATTGCCCCGATTCAGCCATTAGAGTATCAATGTGTGAGGTAGAAAATGTTTGAAGGCATTAAAAAAAAACTACCCCCCCCTCATTTTTTTTAATGTTTTGAAAGCTGATAGCAAGCTTCCTGCATTAATCTTTATTGGCAGCCATAATAATGAGAAAATTGGTATCATCTGAACTGATTATCCTCTCAACATGAGCGAGACAGTGAATTGAAAACTGACCCCCCTCTTTCTCACTCACCATCACTCTTAGATCCATTTCTTTTATGAGTGTCGCTCAGTTCACCATCCTCTTCTATTTCATTGCTGCTACACAAGGTCCCATTCATTCACCTGAAGGTCAGGGTTCTCTCATGGATAGATGGACAACAGGTAGCCTTGGAGGACTGAAAGCGTGTGATAGTGAAGATGACTGAATGTGGGTAGTGGTGATGCTTTAAATGACCGTCGGTGTATGGTTGCAAAATTGCTGGGTAAAGCTGCTTTGCAGGCTTATGCTTTAAGTAAACAATTGCTCATAAATGTAAATGTCTAATCAGGCATCTAGCAGCAACTTCATTTAATCGTGGCAACATGGTTAAGATGGTGAAGTTCAAATGGAAAGGAAGTTCACGTGAGTGATTTTGAATGTAGCATGGATGTCAGAAACTGCTGATCTGCTGGGATTTTCCTGCACAACTATCTCCGGGGTTCAGAAACAGTCAGAAACAAGACACTCTAGACTGTCGCGAACTTTAACTCAAACAATCACTCATGGCAACCAAAGTTGGAGCATATCTGGATGCTCAACACATCGGACCTTGAAGCAGAAGACCACGACTGTTAGCTAAGAACAAGAAACTCAGGATACAGTTCACATAGACTCACTAAAACTGGACAATAGACGATTGGAAAAATCTGATGTGACTCGATTTCATCTTTTGATCATCGATTGATCATCTCAAACTGGTTTCTGGCATGACAATGAGTTCACTGTACTCAAATGACTGTCACA